CTTGACAGAGGCACAAAGATCAGATGTAGAGCCATGAGGGAAAGGAGACAGTGCAGTTTCTTCTTTGTCCCCATGTTTGCAAATGCATCACTAAAACACTGCACAGGGAGAGAGATGTTCACCTCAAATCTCTTGTTTTGGTCTAGCAGCTCTCTTTAAAATGGCTTGTTCCTGCTGCAGGAAGCTCCGAGATGTTTTGCAGAAGAGGTTGATCAAGTTCTTCATTGAGCAGAGCAAGAAGGACCCTGAGAAATATGCCAAATTCTTTGAGGAATATGGAGTGTTCATGAGAGAGGGGATTGTCACGATAGCAGAGCAGGATGTCAAGGTACCAGGAGTGGCTGAGTGTTTGCTCCTACTGTGACCTGGGATGAGGGGACCTGCTACTTCTCTCTGGATCTTTCAGGCCTGTAACATGTTCCTGGGTCTAGCAAGGCCTACATGTTCCTAGTGCCCCACCTCTCACTCTCACTGGGTGCTGCTTCCCACTTAATTCAAGCCACTGCAGGGTCTCTGTACCCACTCTGTTGTCAGCCCTCCCTGAAGCAATATGATCTCCAAGAGGCAATAAAGTGGGGCTTTGCCCCACTGGTGTCCTCTGCCTGGATTCCCATTTCCAGGAGACCTTGACCTGTCTGGGTTGCGTTACTGCCTCCTTGTTACCTGGAGCAGGAAAGGAGGGCCTTGGAATCCTCTGAGCCTTTCTGCAGGGCTGCAGAGAGGCCTGCATGCTCCAGAGAGAGTCTTGGGGCTGGGAGTGGTCAGGTGGAGCTCACGGGAGCCCATTTCTTCCAGGAGGACATAGCCAAGCTGCTGCGTTACGAGTCGTCCGCCCTGCCCGCGGGGCAGCTGACCAGCCTGCCCGACTACGCCTCCCGCATGAAGGCAGGGAGCAGGAACATCTACTACCTGTGTGCACCCACCCGGCACCTGGCAGAGCACTCCCCCTACTTTGAGGCCATGAAGAAGAAGGACATGGAGGTGGGTGAGCAGTGTGCCACGGCCAGGGGAACACCCTGAGCGTCTGCATCAGTGCTCAGGGCTCACCGGGATCTGGCAGCTGAGCAGGGCAGGGAGGCCTGTGAAAGACTCAGGACTGGCTCTCACTTGCCATGAGGCAGCAGGACTTGTTCAGCTGCAGGCCTGGTACAAAGTCCTCCAAGGGAAGCTCATTTGGAGCCCTCAGCCACAGACACCATGGGGCTGTACCTGCTAGTTTCCCTTCTGATGTTCTCGCTGTTTGGTGCAGAGGTGCCTTGGGAAGGAGGAGCTGCTCTTACATCCCAAACAATCTGCTGTCATCTCTTTTTTTGGCACAGGTCCTGTTCTGCTATGAGCAATTTGATGAGCTGACACTCCTGCACCTTCGGGAGTTTGACAAGAAGAAGCTGATCTCAGTGGAGACAGATATTGTTGTTGATCACTACAAGGAAGAGAAGTTTGAGGAGAGCCGTCCAGGTATCCAGAGCCTCCCTTGGGTGCTCTGAGGCAACTTTTCAGTTCTTGCAGATCCCTTTTTACCCCCCCAAGTTGAAGTGATTAGCTCATTTAAACAGAGGGAATGTTATATGTGGAGTTGCCAGGGTTTGAGTTGTAACAACACACACAGACCTGGTGCCCTGACAGGCAGGCAGGCATCAGCAGGATGTGAGCCTGTGTGTACAGCACAGCCTGGGCTGAGGGATGAGGTGTGTGCTGAGCAGTTCTGCCTCCCCACCTCCACAAGAGAGAAGCCAAATGGCAGTATGCAGGGGCCTGAGCTCAGGAGTGGAGCTCCCTGGCCATGGGCACACTGGAGATGCACACTCAGACCTGCCCTCTTTCACTGGCCAGCTGCAGAACGTCTGACAGAGAAGGAGGCTGAGGAGCTGATGGCCTGGATGAGAAACGCCTTGGGCTCTCGAGTCACTGGTGTGAAGGTGGGTATTTTGTGCCTGGGAACTGAGCACAGCAGGTCCATAGAGGCAGGCATGGGGAAAAAAGGGAAAAAGATGGTGGCTGATTTGGGATCTGCTGCCACAGGTTTTTTTCTTTGGAACCTGAGAGAAATCGTTCTTCTCCCTGCTTCTTTCCTGTAAATGGGGTGAATGCTGGCATTGTCATTTGGGTGGTCATTGTGGCAGTGGAAGATCTTAATGTATCATGAGCAAAGCCCTTTTGACTCAGTTGCTGCTCAGGTTACCAGAAGAACAGGCTGGTGACTGTGTTGCCTGTGGACCAGCTTTCCTGGCTGTTCAGGCAGCTCCTGTGGGGTCGGGATGAATGACGTGGGGCTTGATTGGAGGGGATCTGTGCTGAGGAGACCCCAAGTCCTTGAACTCCTCCCTCCCCCTCCTCTAACCTCAGCACTGCTGGGTGTTTCTGCCCCAGGTGACCACCCGGCTGGACACTCACCCTGCCATGATCACTGTGCTGGAGATGGGGGCTGCCCGGCACTTCCTGCGCATGCAGCAGCTGGCCAAGACCCAGGAGGAGCGTGCCCAGCTCCTGCAGCCCACCCTGGAGATCAACACAGGGTAAGGGGGAGCAATACCAGTGTGATTGAAGCCTGGGGCACCACGGTCTTGCTGGGATGGAGGCAGAGAAGAGACAGTGGAAGGGTCCCAGTTAGTGGAGCCCTCCCCTTGAAGTGCAGCCTGTGCCCCAGGGAGGCTGCCTGGCACAGCTGACATGAGACACACACACTGTGTCCAGCCCCCTGAGGACCACGGGGTTATAGGGACAGGACAGGAGAGAAGCCCCCAGAACAGCAGCAAGGAAGTTTGGCCTTTTGGTAGAACCTTTTCTGTTGCACCTTGGCTGAGCTGCTCAATTTCTCCTTCTGTCCGGAAATGCTAAGTCTCAGTGTTGATCTCTCTCCCTCTTACAGACATGCTCTAATTAAGAAGCTTAATGAGCTGAAGGACAGCCAGCCCGATCTGGCTCAGCTGTTGCTTGACCAGGTGAGAGCCAGGCCTTCTCCAGCAGCACCACCATCCTCCTCAGGACCATGTGTGGCAGGGGACAGGATGAGGCCCCTGTAGAAGGCAGGAATCACATCCTTCCGTGACCCCCACGCTGGGTATTGCTGGTACTTGTGGCCTACAGGATGGCCCAGAAGACATGTTTGGTCTCTCCATCCAAGTCCTGGAGAGTCACAGTCACTTCCCAGCTCTCACCCAACTTGCTCATGCTGCTTACTCAACATTTTCTTCTCTTTTTCAGATTTATGAGAATGCCATGATAGCAGCAGGACTGAATGAGGATCCCAGACCCATGGTGAACAGGCTGAACGAGCTTCTCACCAGAATCCTGGAGAAGAACTGAGCCCCAGCAGAATGCAGGATGAACTCTGTGCTGATGCCCCTTTTCTGAATGGCAGTCCCTGTCAGCTATGGCAGCACCTGCTTGCAGGCACTGTGCAGAGAGGGCTTCATGTGGCAGAAAGTCAGGGAGAATGCCAGGGCCTTCCAACCCTCACACACGGGGAGGAGCCAGTTGGAATGATGAAATCATGTGTCATCAACCTGTTCAAAGTGCAGGGTTCTTAGTGGGAAGAAAATCCAGAGAATGCTGTTAAAACAACATGCCTGAATTGCTGACACAAGCCTACAGAGCCTTGTTTCATGCTGTTGCTAGAAATGGCCTTTCCCAAAACAGATGCTGGCAGCAAGATTCCCAGTTAGCTCTATCAACACACCCTCTCCCCATCCACTGAACCCCTGTGCACTGTTATGCTCCAAAAAAGCACTGAGAGAATAAATGAAGAAACCTGCACCTCTGACCAGGCAGGAGGTGCTTGCTGGGCTGGAGATAAGTTGCTGCTCTTAGCAGACACAGGTGCTGGTGGTGGAACATGTCAGTACAATCCTGTGGCAGAAAATACCATCTTGCTGCTGGATAATTGAGTTCATCCTGGTCTTGCTGTGGTGAAAGGAAAGTAACTGGGAAACAGTTTCCCACCATGTGGCTTTCTGGAGAGTCTCCAGGGTTTTTTGCCTCTTCTGTGGGATAACCTGCATGTCTAGCTGATCTGTATTTATGATAAATAAACTCTTCCATACCTCTCCACTCTTCTCTCTCCCTTTTGGTCTTTGTGCCTTCCAGCTGGTGATTTCTTGGTTCTTCAGGGCATCAGGTGGGAAGAGAAGGGTGTGAAGGCAGTAGGTGCAGGAGAACCTGCAGCTGTGAACCCTGCTAGCTGTGCCTTTGAAAACAGGGTTTATCCCCTCAAATCCCTTCTGAGGAGTAATGGCTGTTGGAACAGAAGAGCCCTTTGTAGCAGAAGATGTCTGGTTGACACCATGCAGACTGGTTCACAGGAATTCTTTCTCCTGCTCAGTGGGGGCTCTGAGGCAGCCATGAAACTTGTTGAGTTTATCTGTAAATTGCCAGATTAAGATTCTGGAACTGGGTTTGGTTAACTCTTTGGATAGTTGACTGGGCAGGACAATCTCCAGCTCTTGAAGCTAAAGGAAGCCAGGCTGTGCAAAGAGGCATGAAAAGGGTCTGTGTAGGGGATATCATTTTAGAAATTGTATTAACCACCTAAAATTTTATTTTTTATTCAGATGCAGAAGAGGAACTGAGAGGTGACAGTGTAGGGGGTGTTGAGAAGAGCAAGGAGCCACCTTTGACATTCCTGGGGTTGCTGTGTAGCTCAGCTAGAGGCCACAGGTCTTGATCCAGCTCCTGGTAAGACACAGATGGCATCTTCTGATTATGCTGGGATTCCTTGACTGTGCAATCATGAAATAGCCTCAAATTATCCATGCTCAAGATTAGAAGACTCAAGTTGTCCCAGGTAAACATGTGTAAGGTCTTTCTTCTGGAAGTAGATAACATCTGTGGAGTTCAGCTGTACATGTTGGAGACTGGGCAGCATTCCTGGCTTCCAAGTAGGTGTAAGATCCTTTGCCATCAACATTGACTTCAATACACTGAAAAAAATGCTAGACAGGGAAGTCCAGAGCCTTGTGGGACACTTGAAAGGAGCATTGCAGTGCAGGGTGTCATGAGCACAGATGAAGAAATGAAAACTTGTGGTGGTTTTCTCCTGCCAACAGTCCAGCAGGTGAGTGCAGGAGCTGCTCACCTGCTGCTCACTGAGAATGTGCCTGAAAACAGCATCTGCTGATCTAAAAGCCTTGAACTGGGTGCTAGTTTATAAAATCTGATGCAGGAGAAGAGGAGAGTGTTGACTGTCAGACAGTCATGAACTGTCTGACATGTCTTTAACCTCTCCAGCCCAGGGAATCCTCCAGGAATCCCAGCAGCCCTCAAGGTGCTGGGTTGGTTGTTGGTTTTTTTTTTTTGCCATGAGGGATTTGTGACTAAAAGATCAAATAGGATTTGTGTTCTGGAGTGCAAACCTACCCCTTGTCACTGCCCATCAAGCAGGGTGAGAGGTGAGGATAGTCCCAGGAGCAGCAGCAGCAGGATCAGGAGGGTCCCACATCCTGCTGCTTTGATGCTCTTTGTAATGTTCTCCAGCAGTTTCTCCAGGTCCCTCTGGGATCATCTTTCTCTTTTCTTTGCAAAGACCTGCAAAGAGGGCTGGTGTATGAGGATTTCATGCCTGGCTAACAGATCAGAACCTATTGGAAAAGGGAGATGTCCAGCATGGTGTTGGTGAGCACAAACTGAAGTGCTGACAGGAATGCAGGTGGGTTGCTCAAAATCACAGAATCCCAGACTGGTTTGGCTTGGAAGGGACCTTCCAGATCATCTAGTTCCCACCCCCTGCATGGGCAGGGACACCTCCCACCAGCCCAGGCTGCTCCAAGCCCCATCCAACCTGCCCTTCAACACTGCCAGGGATGGGGCAGCCACAGCTTCCCTGGGCAACCTGGGCCAGGCTCTCACCACCCTCACAGCAAAGAATTTCCTCCTCATCTCCAACCTCCATCTCCCCTCTTCCACTTTTAATCCATCCCCCTTGTCCTCTCCCTCCCTGCCCTTGTCCAAAGCTCCTCCCCAGCTTTCCTGGAGGATACTGGAAAGCCACTGTAAAGGCTGTGAAGCACCCAGCATGGGCTGGTTGTGTCCTTCTGCATTTGGGTTGGAAGAATCTCATGGAGCTTGTTCAGTTTTCCTGGCTGTGAGCAATGCTGAGCCCTGCTTTGAGCAGAGAATTATGTATCAGGTTTGATTTCTCCTAGGTCCTTATTAACTGCTGCCTGTCACTTTTTTCTTGGGTTTGGGTTTTTTTTGTGTTAGTCATTTTTCTACAAGTTAAGCTGTGTGTCCTGCCAGGCTGCTGGTGACAAACAGAGTGCCCTTCCCTCCTGCCCAGGCTCATCAGCTGGGGACTCAAACCTCTTGTCTTCGGGGGCAAAAGATGGAAAATATTTATAAGCAGTGAAATCCAGTTTGAAAAGGACATTCCTGAGACCTTGTGCTTTTCAACTTGGCCAGGAGCCTTCTCATGTCTGGCTCAGAACCTTAAAACTGGCCCAGCCCATAAAGTAGTTCACTGGGCCAGATTGGGAACAGAGTTTTCTCCTTTCC